TGCATCTTTGTAATGGCCTTCAACTTTGCTTTCCGCTCTGCTTCTGCTTGCTGCCGACCATCATTGCCACGCTTGATTGCTTGGATCTTGGTAGCAGCCTCTTTTCTTGCTAGCTGCTCTATGTTCGCACGTTCTCGTTCTCTATTTCCTCTGAAGTTGGCTTGTACTCTTGTTGCTGCTCTTATCATCTCTTCTTTCTGCACCCGCACCTGCTCTCGTTCCACCTGACCACGCCTGGTTGCTTGAATTTTTGTAGCTGCCGCGAGGCCTTCAAAGAGCTGTCGCTGGGCCATGTTGCTTCTCAGCAGCACCTGGAATAGGTCTCAGCTTTTGGTCATGTGCACGACTATTTAGCGAAGTGATGCAAAAGTCCGAAGTAGCAAAAGGTGACATCAGGTCCGATCAAATCCCTTCGCTTTAGCTTTTGGGCGGCCTGCAGCAGCTCAGCAGCTGCGCTTTGGCATTGCAGCTTCTGGACACGCTGCCGCGCGAAGCGGCCCCGCTGCATCGCTTGGAGGCGAATGATGAAAGAGACCTGAAAAGTGGCGATGACGGATGTCAAGCAGGAAAAAGAGATAAAGAACAGACTTTATCGGACAAATTAGATAAAGAAAAAGAATAGAATGCTTTTAGCGATCTGTTCTTCAAAGCCCTGCGTCTCAACCTTGCCATCTCCGCTGCTTTCATATGACAAACACGGTGAAGGGTGAGCAAAGAGGGGATGGGATCAAATCATCAAACAACCTAGAATCTAAGATAATCCAAGCAAGTTAAGATTAAGCTTGGTTGGATTACAATCAACTTGCTTGTCAAACTGATAGGTAGGAAGTGGCAGGAGAAAAAGACTGAAAAAGAACATCAGTGACGTTGGAGTTCCAAACTAAGCAAGCTGGATGTCCACATATATCTCTATATACACTTGTTGGTTCGTGGTTTGATCTTCGATGTTGCTTCCGATATGCTTGTCTACTAGACTAGTCTGCTTGATGTTGCCCGCAGATTCGCAGCAGCTTCTTAGGAAACGCAAGCCTGCCTAATCATTTTCCTGTGAAGTCAAATGTGTCATACATCGGAAGTGCACTAGGGTGGAAGTGCACCTGTTGAGGTGTGCTGCCCTTTGTTTGGATCAAACTATGCCCACCTTCCGCCGCTCTTCTGCCTCAATCTGTTGCTGCTGCCATTGTTCCTGGAAGCATTGGACCGCCACCGACGAAGAATCTTCTCGACGGCACCAAATAGGACGGCAATGCACATTTTCGCAACACATTGGCACCAACAACACCACTACATTGCAGGATTGGCAAGCTGCACCCTCGGCCCAAAAAGAAATTGCCATGGCGTCGCATCACGGTGCTCTGACTCCATACCGGTCATAGGTGCTCAATTGTCAGCAGAAAATGCTGCACCTTTGCACCTTCATTGAAAGACACCTTCTTTGTTCCTATTAGCGCTGGCCAGGAGCCCCTAGTAGATTCTTTGCTCCTAGTAGCGATGCCCTTTGTTCCTAGGAGCGTCCTTTGCTCCTAGTAGTAC